TAACTGTATTTTATGGCCATTTCTTCACATTTTTGTCCTATTTATACTCTTAGCTTTTAAAATACCACGACGATGTCTTTCACAGTTTAATCATACATTACCTGAAAAATTCCTTTCTGTCTCAGCACATTGCCTGGTAAGAACAAGGGACACGAACGAGTTATTAGAAATGGTAATAAATTTCTGTTTATTTATACCCTTTGTGGCCATTAATATCTTCTAAGTCACCTCCTTTGTAAAACAGATCTGCAGTCTACCCTCTCCTTTAAAAGCAAATCCACACTTCTGATTATCCTTGCAATTTTCTCTTTATTAACAAGGATTCAGGATTTGAGCCCCATACACATTTACATAATGAAGGCATACAGATGCTTTTGATTTGTTATGTATTGTTTCCTAATCTTTTTCCTTTTTTTTTTTTTTTTTAATTGTTGCTAAGAATGGAGCAAGGTTCTTCAAAGAACACTACTAGATGTTTCCACGATCTCTTCCTCAAACTAACAACTAAATTAGGCTTTTGTTTATGAATAGCCACAGCTGTTCCTTCTTAGAAATTTGGAATACCACCCCAATCACTCACTTTTTAGTTGTTTTGTTCTTTTAGTCGCACTTGACTAGGTTTCTTAATGCTGCAAATTGCCTGCAAATATCCCCTGCAAATTTCTGATAGGGGATCCTTCCCATTTTTTTTTTCAGTATGAGTTACTGACTTAATATAGCTTATTAAATATTTTTCTCCAAAAATACCCCTTTTAACACTCTATACCTACTACCTACTCACCCTATAGGCTTCCTGCTTCTGATGTCTGAAAAAGGTTTTTTCAAAGGCTGTGAAAACAGCAAATTGTCCGATCTTTTCTTATTCTTGCCCATTATATTTAGCTTAAGTTTGATTTTTTTTTGTTTGTATATAGTTTACTGGTTCCTGTTACTGTGCTGTTTAAGTTTTAAAGAATTGAAAAGACTAAACAAAAAACTCTGTCTCGCTTGCGTGCATTTAGTCTGCAAGTAAGTCCTTTTGGTTTCCTCTTTGAGACCTACTTCCTCGTTTTTGTGTTCCACCACTTTAAGGTAAACAGAATCGATTTTCTTGTTTTCTTACTTTGAGCCAACATACACAAAGCAAATCAACACAGCTTTAGAGCTGCATATCTATCAAACTGAAATCCACGTTCTGGTATTAATTGAGAGTACTGAGATGCATGTGCCTATACACACAAGAGCTCTTTTGTGTTTATTAAAGCAGTATGTGCATTTGCATGCTATCTAAAAATTACATCTGTAGACTGTTAGAGCCAACGTTGTCACCGATGTTTACTTGCTGCTATTGTTCTGAGTCATAATTGCTATCTTAGCCACTTGCCATGCTTCGGGAGTTTAAGGGTATGGGCCACCATTATTTCTGGCTTTGGGGGACTTGATGCGCTATGGAAACTCCGGAATTCCTAAGGCGCATGGAATACTGTTGCTCAGTAGGGAAGATAAACTTCACCATCCAACGTCTCCAAAACCCTGTACACTAACAGCTAAAAATACAGTGAAGCTCAAACACTGGTGTTACCACTGGTGCCCCAGGCACACCTCCACCGCCTGCCGGTTTAATGCTCATGTAAACACCACCTCGGACTATCGGCAAACACTCCCCGGCCAGGCAAGGTCAAGTGCTGGAACTTTCCTCCACCAGAGGCCAGCCCTCTCCCCTCTCCTCTGAAAACAGGAACAACCCCCTCCCACTCAGGGTGACGAGGGTGGCACCACACCGGGAAACCGCCGCCGCCTTACAGAGCGGGCTTTGTCACGCCGCCATTTTACACCGCCAGCCGCCCTCCGCAGCCGAAACGCCGCCGGGCCGGGGCGCGGGGAGCGGCCGCCGGGCCCGTCCCG